AAGGTGTCCTTGCGTGCCCTTTTTCTTTTAAAGCGCAGTCGGTTACCAAATCTCGTTGTGGGATGACTCGGCGACTTTACAAGTCACCTCATCTCCTTGTAGGTCCTTAATGACCCTTGAAGTCTTGGCGCGAATGTGTTCTTCACCCTTTTTGCTTAGCACCATGGGCTACGTAGTTCTTGATTCCATACAACTTGTAAGGAGTCCTCTGATTTGCTCGAACGATGTCCATGGTTTGGAGGAGTCCCGGTCCCTCCTTAGCATTTTGACTTTTAAGGTTTTCGTGAGTTCTTAGTACGAGTTCCCAACTTGCCTCCTTGGTTTGCGCAATCCTTTACGCCAAACATCCCTAGTCGGTTGTATCGTAGGATCCGATTTCAATTACTCGTGCAATGTAATTGATTGTGATTTCCCGATGGTGTCTCGTGCGTCAAGGTCTTTTATGTAGGACACTATGTTTGGGTGGTCCATGGTTCCTTACCCAAGACTCACATTCCTCAATCGAGGCACACAAGTGCGCCACAAATCAATAAAATGAGGGGTTAAGAAATCAGCACATTGTACCAGTGGGCGCGAGGTGGGCGGTCGTCCGCCTGCCAAGCTCCTGCCAAGGACCCGCCAAGGTCCCGTCAAGGACCCGTTGGGGACCCGCGGGAAAGTGACTAGGAATAGTCAATTCCTTCGGGAAGGACCCCAAAAATGCACAGATTCATGTCCTGACAAGTCCCATGCCCTTGTGCACAATAAAAGGGACTTGGATACATAGGATGACCCATCGTACAATCTTCATTGATCCTTAAGCACGAGTTCTAGAGGTAGATATACATACATATATATATCTATGTTTTCTTGGTCTGGGTTTAAAGGGGTGTAAGGAGTGCAAGGGCTAGGTTTCAAAGTCGAGGGGCGGATAGGGTCGATGTCTCAAGGTCGTAATACAGGAAGGAAGGTTGCCACCTTGTACGGGTTCGTCTGTAATGAGGGATCAAGAGCGAGGTTTGGAGTGATAGGACGGATTCTTTAACGAAATGGTACTTGATTGGCAAGGGGAGGGAAATGGACTAAGGACTCTTGGCTTCGGGTGATTATGCCTGTTTGGGGCTTGGTTGTGGCGTGCAGTCGAACTGGTGATCCCTTTTCCTTGGCTTTGTTTGATTCTAAGATTTTCGTTTGATCTTCTCTTCCCGTGTCGAAGTCCCCTTCGTTTCTATGGCTTCCAGGGGAATTCTCGTGATGGTTTCCGTGCACGTTCCCCTCGGATGTCCAGAAGTCTGGACCCAGTCGGTTTAGTGGGTCAAACCCCTAGGTCTTGACTCCTAATCCTTGCCGAGGGTTCTTAAGGGTAAGGGGGGTTTTGGGTTAGCCTTTCTTGTTCTATTGGGTTTCATCCCTTCCTTGGTGGATGAAATTCTTAGCAAGGATTTATGTCCTCCTCGAGGTTCGGCCTGTTGCACCTATTTGACGATGTTTTCTGTAGCGAGGGCCCCTGACACATTGAACGTATTTGTTTGCCCGCTCTTGTCAACGCATGGCGTTCTTCGGTGGCGTACGTACAGGCTATGGTTTCTCGTGAAGCCTTCACGGTTTTCGTGCAAGGGTGGGGTGATACGTATTCGTAACCTCCACCTACTTCGCCGATTCCTATCTAACAACTTATTTTAATATTGAATCAATGAATGTCGGTTCTTCATGCCCCTGGGCAGGGTATGGGCCTTATGCTGCTCTACGGTTTTTAACAGGGTTTCCAAACGGAGTGGGGATATGAACTTAGAGTAAGGGCAATAACAATTTAGGGTTTCCGAGGGTTTGGGTTAAGCGCAACAAAGGGCGAGCAAGGTCATGACGGTTGCGAATTTGCTCTTAAGGTAATTAAGGATTCGGGGTGGGAGTTTTCAACAAATAGGGGTATCAAGATGCTGGGGTTTCAAGGCGGATGATATTTTAAATTGGGGTGGTGGGGTCGCAAGGTGTCGCGATATACTTACCTTGCACCCAAGGATTCGACTAATGGTGTCGTTCCTTCGCTACTTTAATAGGTGTCCTAGTTCTCCTTCCTGTTTGTTGTAGCCGCAACCCGGGTTTGCCGAGATAAGGCAACTTGTCGGAAGGTGCATGTCATTTGTCTGACTCGGGGGTTATCGTGGTTACCCTGGGTTGGTGCGTATTGCAGTCCGTCCCTTTTAGCAGTCCTGACTGTAACGCCTCTTCTTAGTAGTCATCCAAATCTTCCTTTTCTTTGGTCAGGGTCCTTGTCAAGTCTTTTGACGGGAGTTAGGACGAGGCGATTTATCGGGTAAGTGTACGTTACCCAGTTGTGGAAGTAAACTTATCTATTCGTACCCTTACCTGGTGTGGTAAGCGTAGGGGGAGGTTCCTTTAAGTTAGAGAGGGATGAAGTGAGGGGAGGTTATGTGTAGGTTTCACAATCTCACTGCGCGTCCTAAGATTCCTGGATCCTATGTTCCTAAGTACCTAGAGTTCAAGCCTAATGTCCTAAAGTCCGGTCTTAAGAGTCTTATCCTAGGGTCAAACTTAAGCTCTGATACCAACTGTAACACCCCAGATTTTCAAGACATTTAAAACTTATAATAAAGGTAGAATCTTATTAAATCCCAAGATATAAATACAAGCGTTCGGGGTGCTATGCCACACCTGGGCTAGAGAACCCAAGTGCACAGGCTAACTAACTAATATCCTCAAAGCGTAAATACGTAAACGTGGTACGCAGGCCAAAAGGGAAACTATCTACTTCTAAGTTCTAGCGCACTCCATTGACTTAATCTTCTGTGCCTGAAAGCCAAATATATCTGTTCAGCGAGAGATGCTGGTAACCCACTCCAACGCGTTGAAATACAATACATATAGAGATATATATAGATATACGAAAACCATTTTGAGCATGAAGATATATCCTACGAACTCTAGCTTTAAAAACCGGGAATGACTCGACAGATAAGGCCAGAAGCAAGCAACAGTTATAACGAGCATATGCAGGTCACAACAGATAAGGCAGATAAGGCAGATAAGGCAAAACATAATCAATGATCATAACCCAACATGAACAATCCCCAATATAAATCCCATAGTCACATCCCCCAAGACACTCGTAATCACAACTCGTCCATGTCACAACATATAACACACTTTGTTGGCGCCACAGGACCAATCGCATGCCCATACATGAGGGTCAGCGCATATAGCTCTGACACGGCCCCGCAGCACCCTGCCCCGTATCGCAAAACGGAGGGGTCGATCGCAACCGACCGATGAACCGCAGCTCATCATAGTGTTTGATCGCAACCAAAAAGTGGACCGCAGCCCAAGAGAATGTCATCTGACCGCAGCCAGGAAAAAGGACGAACCGCAGCTCGTATAGAAACGTTTGATCGCAACCAAACGGTGGACCGCAGCCCAAGAGTATCGATCTGACCGCAGCCAGCTTCTAAACCGCAGCTCAGGATAACCAATCCGATCGCAACTGAATTGGGGTAACACACACACATAACACGTAGCAAGCACATGCAACCCACATTACACATTGGGAAGGGGGAGAAAGTGCATAACAAAACCTATGCGTGATCCATCACATACTAAGAATAGTCCTAAGGGGTTCATACTCCTTCCACCTAGGTCAACGGGATACCAATTCAACTAGCATGCGATATAATAGACTCATAAACCTACGAACGGTACCCGAAACATCAAACTAGACATAGGCACGATAAACGGAGTCCGTTGGGACACCACGGGGAACGGGGGAACATCAAACGGGGAAGCCGGGATCCCAAGGTGGGATAATTTCCAGCGGGTAGCCGGTGGGTGGGGGCCACCCGCCGGCTGCCCGCCGGAGTGTACTGTTCCGGGCAGCTGCCCGCCCGCAGGCTACCCGCTGCCGGGCGGTGTTTTCTCGGCCGTGGGTTGGTGGCGGGTCCCCTACCCCCCCACCTACCCCCCACTGACTCTTTTCACACAATAACGTCCCGGGAACCTTTGTGGAACCCGAAACCATGCTTAGACACTTTACAACGCAACTAATAATTAACACGTAGACAATTAATGGATCAAATATGAGAAACGACGGCACATAACCTATCATGCTTTTCTAATATAATCAACACCCAAACATGCGATTTCCCCACCCGATAATCCAAGAATAAGATCATACGATACAACCTAGGGTTCTAATCACTTTTATATCAACAAGTATACGGTTCGTCTTCTAATTACAAGATTCGGTAATAATAACACATAAACATCAAGAGCATCACACAATTATCAAGAACAACACATAATCATCAAGAACTCTATATAATCATCAAGAATTCCATAATCATCAAGAATCTCCCAATATCAAGATTATCAAGATCACTCATGGGATCATCACATCAAACATCAATAATTATCATCATATCTCGCCAATCACAATAATATGGGGGAAACCCTAAGGGGGAATCATAGCTATGAAAATAGGTTTTGTTGAGACATGGGTTACCTCTTAGCCTTAATTAATTCCTTGGCTATGAAGGGTCTTTCTTTAAGGTTTCTTGCTTTCTTGATTTCTTCTAAGGGGATTCTTGGAGCACTTTGGGGTGGTGGAACGTTTATTGTGGTGGGGGGTTCTAGGTGCCTCTTAAGTCCCCTATTTATATATTTAGGAGTCCTGGTTAGGAACTAATATTATAGGCTTGCTAATTCTATCCCTTTTGGAACTAAGGATTGGGTTTAGGGATAAGGGTCCATGGTCCATAATGGACCATATTAATTAATTAAAGGGAATCCTAATCGTAGTCTGAATAGTAAAAGGCCTACTTCCTTTATTCCTAATAGATAACTAGGTCTAGGATTCCTAATTCATAATTTTTGGACCAACATAATGATCTTTTAAATTGTTGTCGTCATGACCTCATCATTCCCTCACTCTTTGAGATGATTCGTCCTCGAATCACACTTTCCTCGATCAAATGGAAATGAGTAATTATCCGACCAAATGACTTTAATACCTTCACCAAGGAGAGGGAGTGATCTCGCGCTTTGTAGATCATGGCACAACAATACCATTCCTTCCAACTGATTTTCAACCCTAGAATCACATCCATTAACCTGCAAAGAACTTAAATCAAAGGTTATGGAGTTCTCAAAATCTTCTCCCTCATTCTTTTTCTCACAAAGTTTATAAGACAATTCTTCTTCCTCATCTTCAGTTTTTTTCTCAATCTCTCCTTCTTTTTTCACTCAAATATTCCTCATCTTTGTTTTCACATTTTTTTCACACATGTTTACATCCTCATTCATTTCTTTTGAGCCCTCCACGTATGACAAGGAAAAAGGTATCGAATTCTCGACATCTTTTTGCTGCAATTTCTCTTCAATTTGTTTGGCATGGAATAGTAAAGTAAACAAGCACTTGCACCGATGAGGAAGCAACCGTGCAATTTCTTTTCTAATACCATACACAAATCTATTCTTGGTAATAACAGCGAGTTCAATCACGCCATCACGGATCATCAAATCTCTTAACTTATTGTAGAATTCTTCCACACTAAGAGATCCTTGTTGAAGTGTATTTAACTCAAAAGACTCCATGGATGATATGAAGCAATGAACTTTAAACTAGAAAACACAAGGAATGGCAACACAAATCTGGACAGACTTTAAGAGTGACTTTGATGAATTTTCTGGAATTTTATGGATGATATTTTGACCAAATTTTTTTTATGGTTAGCAAGAACTATGGGTTGTATTCAACCATAAAAATTTTAAGGGCAAAAGGGTATGTGGAAGTATTTCTCCCAAAATTTTCTTTTGGACTGGACAGGAAGAAAAATTTTTGGGTAGAATCTTACGGTTGTGTTGACTTTAGATAATTTTCTGTGTTTCGAGGAGTATGATTTTAACAAAAAACTTTTATCAAACATTAGAGTAATAGGTTGGATACTTCCAGAAAAAATTTCAACACAATTGGATATGTGGAAGTATTTTTTTGGAATTTTTCTTTCTGAAGACGCAGGCTGAAAATTTTCTGCAGAAACAAGAAACAAGAATTGATTGGTAGAGTGTTAACCTTTTTTGTGTGAGGAATGAACCCAAAGCTCTGATACCAAACTGATGTGGATCTTTGGGGGATGAACTCAAGATTCGATTCACCAAAGATTCCTCCGGTTGCCCGATCTTTTCCTCACCAAAACAGCAGGAACAACAATTACGGTTTGAGGGTGTTGGAGATGGAATTGGTTGATGTAGGGGTTGGTTTGGGGGATTATTTTTGTGTTTTTCTATAAAGATATTTCCGCCACACCTTGGTCCTAGGTGATAAGGAATGGATGGCACCACAAGATTGGTATTATCTTGATAAGCCTAGAATAACATCTCTCAACACACAAGAGAGACAACAAAATGCCTAAGCATTTCTTTCATTCAACTTCATTCATCTCTATCTCTAAAATTCTGGTTGTGTTTAGCCTTTATATAGGCTAATACATAACTTTCAAATGGAAAACAAAGAGTTAAGAGTCTCCTAATATTAAATTTTAACATAAATGCATTTTAAATAACTAAAATAACTACATGACTTCATTTCAATGATGAATATGTTCAATGAGCCTTCTAGGACCTTCTTCTTCATAATTTTCGGACCAACATAATGATCTTTTAAATTGTTGTCGTCATGACCTCATCACAAACGTAAGGCCGCAACCCTAATCAGGAGGCCGAGCTACGAGGTGTCTAGGGGTGAAAGGATGGACTATAACACCGGGCTTCGGGGACGAAGCCCCTTGTAAGGGGGGGAGAGTGTAACACCTCGTGTTACGGCCCCTAAAACCATTTAATTAATTAAGCAATAGCCCAAGAGAAAGAATAAATCATAATGATTAATTAGAGAAAAAGGCCCACCATAGTCCATGGGCCCTCATATATATATACCCAACCCCTAAACCCAATCCTTAGTTCCGAAAGAAATAGAATTAGCAAGCCTATAGTATTAATTCCTAATTAGGACTCCTAAATATATAAATAAGGGACTTAAGGGACACCTAGAACCCCCCCAACATGATTAACGCCCACCACCCCAAAAAGAGCTCCAAGAATTCCCTTAGGAGAAATCAAGAAAGCAAGGAAGCTTAAAGAAAGATCCTTCATAGCCAATGAATTAATTAAGGCTAAGAGGTAACCCATGTCTCAACAAAACCTATTTTCATAGCTATGATTTCCCCTTAGGGTTTCCCCCATATTATTGTGAATGGCGAAATTATGGTGATTATTATTGATGTTGATTTGATGATTCCATGGGAAATCTTGATAACCTTGATATTGAGAGATTCTTGATAATTATGATGTTCTTGATGATTAATTGGGATTTTGATGATTATGTGTTGTTCTTGATGATTATGATGTTCTTGATGATTAATTGACATCCTTGATGTTTGTGTGTTATTCTTACCGAATCTTGCAATTAGAAGATGAATCGTATTCTTGTTGATATAAAAGTGATTAGAACCCTAGGTTGTATCGTATGATCTTATTCTTGGATTATCGGGAGGGAATTCGCATGTTTGGGTGTTGATTATGTTTAGAAAAGCATGATAGGTTATGTGCCGTTCGTTTCTCGTATTTGATCCGTTAATGGTCTATGTGTTGTCGTAATTGCGTTGTAAAGTGTCTAAGCATGGTTTCGGGTTCCACAAAGGTTCCCGGGACGTTATTGTGTGAAAAGAGTCAGTGGGGGGTAGGTGGGGGGGTAGGGGACCCGCCACCTACCCATAGCCGTAAACCACCGCCTGGCAGCGGGTGGCCGGCGGGCGGGCAGCTGCCCGCCGGCGACCCGCTGCCCGGAACAGTAGAAACTGGCGGGTGGCCGGCGGGTGGCCCACCACCCACCGGCTACCCGCTGGAATTTGTCCCCCCTCGGGACCCCGGCTTCCCCGTTTGATGTTTCCCCGATCCCCGTGGTGTCCCAACGGACCCCGTTTGTCGTGCCTATGTCTAGTTTGATATTTCGGGTACCGTTCGTAGGTTTATGAGTCTATTATATTGCATGCTAGTTGAATTGGTATCCCGTTGACCTAGGAGGAAGAAGTATGATCCCCTTAGGACTATTCTTAGTACGTGATGAATCACGCATAAGGTTGTTATACGCTTTATCCCCCTTCCCAATGTGTAATGTGGGTTGCATGTGCTTGCTATGTGTTATGTGTGCGTGTTGCCCCAATTCGGTTGCGATCGGATTGGTTATCCTGAGCTGCGGTTCAGAAGCCGGCTACAGTCAGATGGGAATTCCTGGCTGTAGTCGGATGACGGTATCCTGGGCTGCGGTTCAGAAGCTGGTTGTGGTCAGATGGGAATTCCTGGCTGCAATCAGATGACATTTTCCTGAGCTGCGGTTCAGAGGCTGGCTGTAGTCAGATGGGAATTCCTGGCTACAGTCAGATGACACACTCTCTTGGGCTGCGGTCCACTGTTTGGTTGCGATCAAACATTATGATGAGCTGTGGTTCATCGGTCGGTTGCGATCGACCTCCCCGTGTTGCGATACGGGGCATGGTGCTGTGGGGCCGTGTCAGAGCTATATGCGCTGACCCGCATGTATGGGCATGCGAGTGGTCCTGTGGCGCCAACAACGTGTGTTATGTGTGTGATATGAACGAGTTGTGATTATGAGTGCCTTGGGATGTGACCCTGGGATTTATATTGGGGATTGTTTATGATGGGTTGTGATTATTATTTATGCTTTGCCTTATCTGCTTTATCTATTGTGAACTGCATATGCTCGTTATAACTATACTTGTGTCTGGCCTTATCTGTCGAGTCATTCCCGGTTTTAAAGCTAGAGTTTCGAAAGATATATCTTCATGCTCAAAATGGTTTTCGTATATCTATATATATATATCTCTATATGTATTGTATTTCAACGCGTTGGAGTGGGTTACCAGCATCTCTCGCTGAACAGATATATTTGGCTTTCAGGCACAGAGGATTAGAGCACTGGAGCGCGCTAGAACTGGAGCGTAGAAGTAGTATAGTTTCCCTTTCGGCCTGCGTGCCATGTTATGCATTTATATTTCGGAGGATAGTAGTTAGACAGCCTGTGCACCTGGGTTCTCTAGCCCAGGTGTGGCATAGCACCCCGTACACTTATGTTACGCTTTGGGATTTAATGAGATGTTACCTTTATTATTAAGTTTTAAATGTCTTGAAAATCAGGGGTGTTACAGTTGGTATCAGAGCCTAAGTTTGACCCTAGGAAGAGACTCTTAAGACCGGACTTTAGGACGTTAGGCTTGAACTCTAAGTACCTAGGAACATAGGACTCAGGAATCTTAGGACGCGCGGTGAGATTGTGAAACCTACACATAACTTCCCTACACGTTGCCCTTCCCCATTCTAAAATCCTTCCCCACTTATCACTTCACCGAAGTGCATCGAACTCTAACTTAACATTCTTATAAACACTGACCAGAAAGACGATAGCATGGCACCAAACAGAAGGCAATCAAGGACTCCGGAACCCGCCACTAATGACCCCTTGACCCAAACTCTACAGCAACTAACACAGGTCGCACAGGCACTAAGTGACGCGGCCCTTCGCGACAACAGGCCCCCACCCCCTCCATCAAACGCAAACTCGGACGTCGCCCGACAAGTCTCAAATCACCGACCACCCACATTTTCGGGAGAAGAGGATCCCGCGGTCCTAGAAGAATGGATCCGGACGCTTGATAAGATTTTTGGAGTAGTGGAATGCCCAGAGGAACGCCGCGTAGAGATAGCCTCGTTCTACTTCGGGCACGAGGCCGACCTTTGGTGGATCCACGAGGGACCCACCTATCAACAAGAACCGGGGTTCAATTGGGAGGACCTCAAGACACGACTACGAGAGAGATTCTACCCAACCCACGTGAAGGCATCCATGTACGAAGAGTTCCTCCATCTAAAACAAGGAACGGCCACCGTCGTAGAATACCATAAACGATTCCTCGAGCTGGCACGCTTCGCGCCAGAGCTAGCCCCCACCGAGGTAACCAAGATAGAGAGATTCGTGTCGGGCCTCAACTTCGAAGCTCGAAAGGCGCTAGTGGTAAGCAGACCTCGGACCCTCAACGAGGCTTACTCCAGTGCCGCGAATCTCTATCGGATCCAACTACTCCAACGCGGAGTTCAGGAACAAATACGAAGAAGAAACACCGGAAGTGGGGCACCGCCAGTGAAAAGAACGAGAAACGACACCGGCACAAGGACGAACAACCCGACCAACCAAAGACCGACCCTGGGAAACAACGAAGCTAATCCAAGAAGCTTCCCTTGTCCGAGATGCAACAAAAGCCATAGGGGCAAGGATTGCGCAGGCAACCCCTGGCGATGCTTCAACTGCGGAGAGGAGGGACACAAGGCCTTCCAGTGCACTCGACCCCAAAGACCGCGCCCCGCCACCGTGGGCCAATACGGGGGCACCGGTCATCAAGGAAGTTACGGCGCTTCCGGAAAGGTATTTGTTATGAGCCAAACGCAAGCCGACCTCGGAAACGAGGAAGGCCTAGAAGGGGAAAACCCAAACCCTGATGACGAGGACCATACGGACCCCGCCGAAG